AAGACAGAGAGATAGAGAGACAGAAAGTGAGAAATCACCCCCTAGGGGGGATGACCACGCCACAATTCTTTCTCCTCCATTTTCCTCTCGGGATCTTGGGCACACACACACATGAACCTGGAGCGAGTTTAAACCACCAGGTCTGGGACTTGAAATGCGGTTGACTACGTGGGAGTCCAGCGACGGAGCCATTATGCCATCTGCCGGTCCCGCAAATGTATTTATGATTGTGGCTTTTTAGTTAGCAGTATGCATTGGAATACAATGCTAGTACCTGCATTTATGCTATCACAGAACATTCTGTTTAGTTGCTTGCTATGCATCTGTATTCACTGATACCACTAGATTTCTTTTTTGCTGTATGGCTTTATACTTTTTTCAGCATTAATAGAGTGCTACTATATATGTAGAATATAGATTTCTTACTGAGTTTCTGAATAAAACAAAATTGTGTGTGTGTGTGTGATTTCTTGCTTTCTCCTTATAAAACTACTTTTACAGTTATTTTCAAAACATGTACTTAACTATCTCCTTTCAAAGTTTCCTAATAAAGTTGGAATGAAGGATTAGTTAGCCTTGTAGCCTAATTGGGGAGCCAGATCCCACATGTCCAACTACAGTTCGAATCCCAGCCCTGGTGTCTTGAAAACCACCGGGGGGGGGGGCACATGTGCATGGATGCACAAAATCCTGACGGATGGAGAAACAGAACGGATTGCAGTGTGGCTACACCCAATAACGGGTACTTTCTCTCCTTCTCTTCCTTTTCTGGTTAATGCACCCTCTGGTAATTTCAAATAAAACTGGAATGGAATAAAATACAACTGTACATGGGCACTTCAAAAGTTCATGGAAAAATGGAATGAAAGTTTGAATCTATTTTGGTACCAAAAATAATTGAAATCTATGCATTTTCTTTTCATAATACAAATTTTCCATTAACTTTTTGAAGTCCCCTTGTATATATATTGGATAATGCGCTAGCAAGGGTAGTAATTATAAATAATCAGTATATAATCACACATTTGGATTAAAAATGTGTTCTGGGGGACCAGCAAGTGGCATAATGATTACATTGCTGGACTTCCAAGTAGTGGACCACAGTTCGAGTCTCAGACCCAAAGACTTAAAACTCATGCCCAGCACATGTGTGTGTGTGTGCCCAAGATCCCAAGAGGAAACTGGAGGAGAAGGGATTGCAGTATGGCCAACCCCCCTGGGGGGTGATTTCTTGCTTTCTGTCTCTGTCTCTTTAGCAAGTACACACGCCCTATAGCAATAGTCTTTCTCTTAAAAGAAAATTGTGTTCTGGGGGGCCAGCAAGTGGCGGCATGGTTTGGTGGTTGAAGTCCTGGATTCCCACCTGGCCAACCATTGTTCCAGTCCCAGACCTGGCAGCTTATTTTCTCACTTTCTCTCTCTCTCTGGTGAGCACATGAGCCCAATGGCAAAATAAATAAATAATAATAATAATAATAATAATAAATTAAATAAAATTAAATAATTCTTTTAAAAAAAAAAGACAGCATCAGAAATCTTTGCTGTCACTGGATTCTAATTCTGGGCTCAGAAAATAAGAAAAATACATTCATAATATCAGCAAGTGAGAAGCTCCTGTTAACATTTAGTTGAACACAGTAAATATATGACCCAGATAATCTGCAGACCCGATCAGAGGAATTTGCCAAATATCCTAATAAGTTTGATCGACCACAGGTGTTCAATAAGTTTGTGTGGTTAGGTGATTATTAAGAATGATGTTTGGGTCAGCAAGTGGCATAGCAGTTAAAGCACTAGACTCTCACATGGTTGGCCAACATGGCCAACATAATTAGTGGCCAATAATTAAGGACATTGTCCATGCTTTAAAAGAGCGCCACGTGGCAGATGCACTGGTGTAGTATTGCTCCATCAATTAGCCAAGAAAGATACTCTTTCAGGAGCTCCTGATTTTGACAAGTTATTAGAAACATCGTTTTAAAAACAATCACCTTGCAATAGCATTTGGCCATGCTTTTCGAAGCCTAACTGTAGTTGCTAAGGAAGCAGCTCCCTTGCTTATGATGTGGTTACTCATTCTTCACATGTTAGGGTCTTATAATGCTGAACAGCCGTGGGGGAGAAACCACTTGTTAATAAAAGATTGTATTTAACGGGCTAAAGTATTCTGTAGGCACTCAGTAAGAGCTGGCTGAATGCAGTAGGAGTGAATGTGATATAGCACTTCTTTTGGGGGGGAGAGGAGTGTTGCCATAGCACATGTGTGCTCCCCAAAAGAGAGAGAGAGGGAAAGTGACCATGCCCCAGTCCCTTCTCCTCCACTCTCCTCTCAGGATTTTGGGCATGCACACACATGTGCCCAGCCTGATTGTTCACGCCGCTGGGTCCAGGACTCAAACTGTGGTCAGTCATGCGGGAGTCCAGCGCCTTAGCCACAACGCCACCTGCTGGCCCCAATTCGGCACTTTCGACCCTTTTGATTTCTTATGTGGGAAGCTTTTCAATTAATAGCAATTAATTCTAATCATAATATTGTATGTTTTTAATAGCACTATCATAGATAATATAATAATTGTAATACTGTGAGGGACTATGAACAAATACTATGAAGGATTATGAACAAATAGTAAATAGTATTGATAATGAGCTAGAGTTATTTCTGTGTGTGAAAGAGGCTGTGAGAGGCTATTACTGAAGACTGATTTCTGCACAAATGTTTACTGAGAGACGGCTGTGGTTTGGGCCCCCCCCACCAACTCCTCACCAAAGTCATGTGTTAGAACTTGATTCTGTTGCGAAGATGTATTAAGAGGAAACTTAATACCTTCATGGTGTGCAAAGGTGGGGCGAATGTTTAGAAGTGACTGAGTGATTAGGGTGGGGCTCCTGAGTGATTCCTGGTGGGTTTATAAGGAGAAGGAAGGAGACCAAGACAGAGACACACAGAAATACACACTCCTCTCATGATGTGACACTGCGCATGGCCTTGGGACTGCACAAACAGGAAAACCCTCAGCGGATATGGCACCTAGACCTGGGGCCTCTAAACTGTGAGTTGAATACGCCTCTGTTCTCTTAAATTACCCACACTTGGGTATTTTCTTTTATTAGCAATAAGAACAACTAGAACAGAGGCCTTTCTGCCCAGGGGCAACCACTGAGATGCCAGCCCTCTGGAAAACGGAATGAACAGCAGACTAGGTGCTGGGTAGAAATTACACCATATTGTAAAATTCCGGGTGAGATGGAAAAATAATGCAGATAGCTGACTTTCAAAACCATCCAGGAAAACATAGAGGAAAGTAAACATTTCCCCACACTCGACGGATTATCTGCCTTTAATCGGCAGCTTTTCACTGCTCTTTCTCCTTGGCTAGCCCCTTCGGTAACCTCAGAATCTCCAGGTAGCTGTAAGTTTCCCGGGTGGGTTGATACACAGAGATGTCTGAGTAAAACTTGGAGGAGAACAAGCCTGTTAAAAAGTGACATTCTGTATCTGCATGATTTATCTTAAACTCCTCCCCGAGTTCTCTCATTGCAGTGTATCAATCCATGTGAGAGCAGTCGCTGCATACTACAGTAATACCAGCCAGGGAACTTTTTTGTCCCAATAAAGGGCTGTTGTTGAAGGCCTGCCCCTCCTCTGGCTGTTTATGGCTCCCAGCTCCAGAGAAAAAGGGAAGCTTTGTGGAAGCCCTCCATGTAATTTATTCAAAACACACTGAAGCCATTAGGTAATTGCACAGTATCAAGAAATCCATGTGTCCAATTTGGTGGGAATTCATGAGTGACAGTGAAATTATAGGATTCCGGCATCCACACATTCGTGTGCTTACTGCTGTATGAAGTTAAAGTAATTTAAAGTAGAAAAGCAATGCTAATTATTGAGAAATGTGGATTATGTTTGTGGTATTAACTGCCAAAGTTAAGTATAAGGTACCTGACAGTAAATGCCATGGATACAGAGAAAAAGATAATACTTCTGCTTGTCAAATCTGGATACGTTGTCCTTTTTAAAAGTAACTTAAACCCTTTTGACAACACTTATGCTGAAAACCGTGTATGTACATGTCACTGTCTAACCCCTTGCACAATGCAGAAAGGCCACAATAAATTAAACAAGTGTCTGAATTCAGTTATACATACTCAACTCTAGGCTTACAAATTAAAAAGTCAGAAATGTCTTTGTACTATCTTGAATGAACTACAAAGCATATGTCCAAAGTCCTGGTGGCTATCTATTAAGAAAGACTAACTTCACCCAGACCCTACCTCAGCCCCTACCCTTTCTTTTTCTAACAAGTTGATCTGCTTTTCAATCCCTACCTCAGCCCCTACCCTTTTTTTTTTTTTCTAACAAGTTGATCTGCTTTTCAATCATGAAACATTAATCAAGCCTCTATTAAAGAGATAATTACATACTACATATACTACTTGGAAAACACTAGTACTTTTGGTTTCTTTAAAAATTGGTCCTCATTCAGAGAGGATTTTGTTTTTAGTATAGATTTTCATAATTTATAATTAAATTGCTTAGTAACTGTTTTAAAGAGCCTGAATTAAATACAATATTGCTTTATATCTCTACGAAACTTATAACATTCCAATAATATAGACATCTATTTTCCTCTTTCAATGTAAAGAAGGAAAATTGAACACAAAGACACTAAGAAGCATTCCTCAATGCGCAGAGGTGAGAGGGTGAAGGTTCCCGCTCCCAGAGGAATGCAAAGTTTGGCTGTTTCCACAGGCTGCCCGCGTTCAGCACCCGGAGATCCCCCTGTCCACGGAGGAGGAACTCCAGCACCACCCCAGGAGTCCCGATTTTCCTGACAGTTCCCAGTCATTCAAATCACATCAGGGAATAAACTAAACTAGCATTCACAAACCCAGTGGATAAAATGACATTTTAATCATCAGACTCAGTCATTAAAAGGCAGACAGACCTTTCAGTTTTCCATCAAAATTTGGATTGGTAGCTACTTTTAAGCCAGGATGAGGTAGCAGAAAACAGGAAATGTTGGTGAAACAGGAATGGATGTGTTTTCGAACATTCTGTAGCTCTTCATGCTGGTTCCCTGAGACCTGCAACGAATCATTCTGAAGTTTAAACTCCTTTCAACATAAATTGAACCAAGGAATTCTATGGTTTCTTGGATTTGGTATGCCTGTCTGGCCCCACAACGACAAAAATAACGTGACGAGGATGCTACTAAGGAGAGAACGAAGTCTTGGGCAAGCCAGCCTCCACAGCCATTTCTAAGCATGCACATGGCGCAGTTATTACGACTAACAGGCCTCTGTCCTCATGTTAACGCAATGTGCCTTTCTGTTTTTCAGGGCTATTAGTGGGTTTTATGAGCTAGTTTCTACAAATTCAAATTTTAATTCAAAGCACTCAGGAGATAAGCAGATCACAAGCTATTTCTACCTTCTTTTCAGGAGATACTCAGGACCATGTCACCTGGTAGGTCTATGTTTAAATTCCAGAATGACTTTTGCATAGTTTGTTAGCTACAAACTAAACTGCTGTCTCTTCCTTCTTTTTTTTTTTTTTTTTACATTTATCTGACAGTTTTTAGTATAGACAAACTACTCTAAAAGTAACTATGAAAAGGTAACCTCAGAGATACTGATTTTCAAGGAACTTTTTTTTTTTAAGGGTTTTGCTATAGGGCATGTGTGCTTGCCAGAGAGAGACAGAGACAGTGAGAGTAAAAATGAGAACTCATCTCCCAAGGGGATGGCCACACCACAAGCCCTTCTCCTTTTGGGACTTCAGGCACGCACACACACGGGCCTGGGGATTTTCAAGCTGCCACTCAGTACTCAAACTGTTGTTGGCCACAGGTGTCTAGCACCTCAACCACTATGTCACCTGCTGGCCCCAGGAGCTTTTTAAAAACTTTTTGAGCTCCCCCCCAATTTCTCAGTAGGTACTTTTTGTGGAATCTGCTCAATGTAAATAATTCATACAAAATTGAACTATCATGACAGAAGTTGAAAGGGCTTTTACTTTCTGTGCACTATTAGCAAAATGTTTTAACTGATTTCAGAGATTTCAAAACTAGCTATTTCTGTTAAATTGACTTTAAGCCACTGGTAAAACACAAATATAGATATTTACTGTTGTTGTCAACTGCCTTAATTCTTCAATTATAAGTTTTACCTTTGGGGGATAAATCATTGTTTTATAGATATCTACAAAGACTTCTTCATCTTTAACATACTTACTATTAATATTCAAAATTATAACTCTGAAAGAAGTTTATTAAGTATCGATATTCACAGAGATACTAGGAGGGTCAAATCAGATTATGGCTACTCAGCAAATCATTCCGCAGAACTAACTGTAGATTACTGCTGGTGAAATGTCACGCACTTAAATAGCTTAACAAACCTTGAGGCGTTTTTCCAAGAATTTGGCACCACCGTCCGCTCCATATGAAAATTCGTACGGGAAACTCCAGTCTCGAACAAGAAATATCAGACTCTACGAGGACAAGAAAGGACTGATAAAGGGATTGTAGGATGCATCCCTCTGCTTTTATTGAAACCAATTATAAACTCATTGTCACTGAAATAGTGTTCTTTACCAAACTGTGGAACTGAAAGACAAACATAAAACCTCTGAAAGTTTCTAAGCAATCTCTTCCCTGTGAGATCATTGCACATGCTTCCACTAGTGGGAATAGGCAGTTGCCTACACACTGCCAAGACGAACCTGCTTCTCCGAGGGGTGAGACAGCAATGCCCCTGGAAGAGGGTGGATGGAGCTGTGTGAGTATAATCAGCCGTTGTGTAGAATTTACTCCTACCCATCTTCTCTTCTGACGGCTGTGGCTGAATGCAGGCAAAGATATAAGATCAACTTTGCTTTGTTTTTTTTTTTTAAATGTTTTTACTGAAATAATGCATATACATATATATGTATTGTTTGTATTATATATATATTATACACATATATGTTAAACATAAACATTATATATATGTGTGTGTGTGTGTATATATATATATATATATCAAGTTATGAACTATATTGCAAAATCCAACTAAGATTTAAAATGCACCCCAAACTCCATCTCTTGGATGTAATCATAGTTAACATCTATGAACATTACCAAGCCATCTCCACAAATGGAAGAGGGCTAGATAGAAGGAAAAAAGGAGAAAAATGATTTTACAAAAAATGGAGTCGGTTTATATGTGACATTTTTAAAAGTCTTAAACTAAAATAGACTCACACTTGGGACCAGCAGATGACATAATGGTTGTATCACTGAACTCCCACGTAGTTGACCGTGGTTTGAGTCCTGGACCCAGCAGCTTAAAACTCACAATGGGCACGTGTGCATGAGTGCCCAAGGTCCTCAGAGGAGACTGGGAGAGAAGGGATTGTGGTGTGGCCATCCCTCCTGGGAAGATGATTTCTCACTTTTTGTCTCTCTGTCTCTCCAGCACGTGTATGCACCCTATAGCAAAAATCTCTAAAAAAAAAATTAGACTCACAATTAACTAAGAGGAAAATGAGATGACATTTATGGTATTATTAAATTTTAATTAAATGATTTTTCACCCTAAGAAATTCTGATAGGGCCAGCAGGTGGCATGGTGGTTAAGGGTGCCGGACTCTCAGATGGCCAACTGCAGTTCAAGTCCCGGATCTGGCAGCTTGCTTTCTCACTATCTCTCTCTCTCTCTCTCTCTTTCGCTCTTTTGCTCTCTCTCTCTGTCCCTCTCTGGTCAAGTTAAAATATATAAATAAATAAAGTTAAATAAAGTAATTCTTTTAAAAAAAAGTTCTGATAGATTCTTTGGAAGTTAAGAAAAAATATTTTGGAAAACATATATTTACTTTTCAAACCTTTTATTGAGATGTAGTCTACATACAGAAAAATAGCTTAATGAATTTTCACAAACTGAACATACCACATAACCAGCACCTAGATCAAGTCTGCTCTCCACAAGCCTCTACTTCCGCTTTCCTCATTAGCCCTTGCTCAAGGGGAAGCACTAGCCTGACTTCTAAGAGTTTAGAAGTTAGTTTTGCCTGTTTTTATTACTTATACAAATAGATCACCCATGATGTATTCTTCCAGTCCAGCTTCCTTCATTGAACATACGTAGTTATTATTCATGGTCATCACTGCGTAATTTTCCATTATGTAAGAAACATATTTGGGACCAGCAGGTGGCATCGTGGTTAAGGTGCTGGACACTCCCACATGGCCGACCACGGTTCGAGTCCCGGTCCTGGCAGCTTCCTTTATCCCTTTCTCTCTCTCTCTCTCTCTCTCTCTCTCTCTCTCTCTCTCTCTCTCTCTCTGTGTGTTCTCTCTCTCTCTTTCTCTGTGTGTGTGTGTCTTTCTCTGGTCAAATTAAAATAAATGAATGAATAAATAAAATTAAATAAATAATAATTTTTTAGAAAAAATATTCATTCTACCATAAATAGGCATTTCAGCTCTTCTAGGTTTTGGCTGAAATGAACAGTTCTATTATGAACATTTGTGTGTCCTTTGGCAAATATACATATACATCTCTTTGGGGTTTGTACCCTGAAGCAGAGTTACTGAGTGATAGATATGCACATATCTGGGATCAGTTGGTACTGTCAGTTTCCCCAAGTGCTGTCCCAATTCGTAACCTTGCCAGCCATGGTGGAGGGCTCCTGCTGCTACGCGTGTGCACCAAAACGGACAGCGATGCCCTCATCGCTGAATGGAGCTGCCTCACTTCGTATTTTCTGTAACTGCAGCTTAATAGCCCATGGCTCTTTCAAACTGCATTTAATAAGATAGAGCACTTGACATGTTTATTAGCTCTGTTTAATTATTTTTAGTGAAGCGTCTGATCAGGTCTCTTGCCAATGTTTCCACTGGTTTTGTCTTTCCTCATTGATTCAGAATTATTCTTTCTAAATATGTTCACCTTTAATGTCCTGCCATGACAAAATCAGCATTCTCAGGTTTCCTCTTACCACACTTCCCTTCCATGCGCTACTTTGTTGTTGCTGTTCTTATTAACTTTGAAATGACACCAGGAGCAGTTTGAGTGTACGTGTTTATGATGCGATAAACATTAAAAGATACCACAAATGCACATGGAAATTATAAGGTAAGATATGTGTTACTGCTATGTGCTCCCACTGTATCCTGAACTTCCCCTATTATAACACTTACATTAGAATTTGATGAACTTATTTCTGTTGCAAGCGATAAAATTCAATCCCAACAAACTTAAGCTAAAAAAGAGAGAATTTATGATTGCTTTTAGAACTGGACAGGTCAGTGGTATAGCTAATTCTAGTAGAATTCAGGGCACTTAAATGCTATCATCAAGGCTCTACATGATGGCCAAAATGATGACCACGATTCCGAGTCATATCCTGCTAGCTTAGCGACACTAGTGCAAATCAGTTTCTCATGATCGCTGTGTCAGGAAAGTCCCAGGAATTGACTCACCTTTGACCTTATGCCCAGTCTAGAAATACGTATTGTGGTCAGAGGGGTGGGATGGTCTAACATGGCACCTCTGTAAGAGGTGGCATCAGCTTCACCTGAACCAACAGGAGGAGATTCCCCATTAGAAAGGAGGATTCTATTGCTAGGAGAGAGGGAAGAAAGGGAACCAGACAGGAAAAAGAGAGAGAGAGAGAAAGAGAGAAAGAAAGAAAGAAAGAAAGAAAGAAAGAAAGAAAGAAAGAAAGAGAGAAAAGATACCCACTCCAGTACTTTATTGTTAGTTAATTATACATCTTAAGCCTTCTGAAAGCAAAAATTAAATCTCTTTCTTCATACTATCCTTAGGACTTAGCACATTGCTTGGCATAGAATCATTGCTTACAAATTTGTTAAATCATTTCATTTTTGGGGAACCAGCGGATGGCATAATGATTATGTCATTGGACCCCCCACACAGTTGACCATGGTTCGAGTCCCAGGCGGTGGCTTCGAACTCACACTGGGCGCATGTGCATTTGTGCCCAAAATCCTGAGAGGAGAATGGAGGAGAAGGGACTGTGGCATGGCCATCACCCCTGGGGTGTTATTTCTTACTTTCTGTCTCTCTAGCAAGGGCACACACTCTATAGCAAAAATCTCCCTCTAAACAATAAAATTTTTTTATCAATTTTACAATGTCAAAATTTAACTTATTTACATTTCACTCTATAATCATGCTGACAGTTGCTTGGTTTTAATGTTCTATCTAATTGAACTCAGTGCATCAAAAATCCTTTTAAAGGACCATCAGATGGCATAATGGTTACATAACTGGAAAACTACATAGCCAATCACCTAGTAGCTTGAAAATCACACAGGGTGCATGTGCATATGTACCCAAGATCTCAGGAGGAGAAGAGAAAGGACTGCAACCTGGCCATCCCCTGCAGGGAGTGATTTCTCACTTTCGATCTGTCTCTGTCTCTCTCTCTGCAGTGAACACATGTACCCTAAGGCAAAAACCTCTTTTTTTAAAAAAAGATCTTTTTACTGCAGCTTTACCACACCTGGGCTTTAATTTTGAATAAAATAAAAGTTGGCTGGAGAGTTGGCCCTCTGACTTAGTCACCAATGGCTGATGGAATCTTAACCCTGGTGGCTTGAAAAACACAACAGGTGAGAATGGCGCACATGCATGCATGCCCCAACTTTCAACCAGATGGAGAAATGGAGAAGGGATTACTGCATAACCATCTCCATTAGGGGGTGCTTTCTCCTCCCTCTGTTCCTCTGTCTCTCTCTGGCAAGCACATATGCCCTCTGACAAAAACAAAACAAAACAAAACTCATTAGTTCATACTGACAACTTCCAAATCCAAATTCAGGACTATAGAGTTTACCTTCAATGTCTAGATTACATCTGCATCTCTTTGCCCAAGAATCTTAATTCTGGAATCTAGAATCAGGGTTCCTAAGGTCTAGGAGATTATTTAATTATGATATCCCATCATTACTCGTTTTTTAAAAATGCTAGCAATACAGGGCCAGCAGGCGGTGTGGTGGTTAAGGTGCTGAACTCCCACACGGCCCACAGCAGTTCAGTCTCAGACTTGGCGGCTAGCTATCTCACTTTCTCTCCCTCTCTGTCTCTCTGTGGTGAGTGCATGTACCCTATAGCAAATTAAAATACAACAAGTAAAAGTAATTCTTTAAAAAAAATGCTAACAATACGTACACGACAGTCAGAACTGCATAGCTAAAACGTCAACTACCAGGCATATTTACTACAACCATTAAAAATGTTGGCATATGCTCTCCTCATTCTACTTTTTAAGTTTTTATCTCTCTCCTTATTTATTTATAGAAAATAGCTCTTACGTATGATGCTCTGTGTCTTTATCCTTCATTTAGGCCTAACTCCACAAATAAGTACACATATAATGCTAACCATCCGTCCTTAAGTCATCTTTGCTCATCTGAAGCTAAGCTTTCAAGTTTCTTATTGTGAGGGCATGGAAGCAATATTCCTTGCACTTTTACAAGTTGACAA